GGGGGGGGTCAAATTGACCCCCCCCCCCAGCGGGAATAGGGTTAAATGAAAAATTTCAAACTAAAAATCAAGATTATTAAAAGATAGAAAGAAACTCAAAACTGAAGATGATGAAATCAAACAAAAAATGTTCTTACAAGTGATGAATGTTTTGGCATCAAGAATGTAATGTCGTATCATATTCAAACTTTGATTCATGAAGATGTCATACGGCCATATCTTTGAATTAGAATTCTAAACATTTTAACCTGAACTAATCAGAGCAGACACCTTTATAAACATATTAATAAAAGAAATTGATATTTGGCAACATACCATTCACAATTGAAAACGACATTCAACATTCAATACTGTCGAGAACTGGGGCTAGTGAAGAAATTCATGGAAATGAAGGTTTTTTAAAAAGCATTAAAAAATATCAATAATGCTTAGAACACATAAATCTTAAAAGACGGAGTAATGAAATAGTAAATATAAATAAAAATTAGGATAATTAAGTGCCACACTTCCGTTCATTATTCTTTTGGCATCTAATCATACCAATCATTTGTGTGCATCCAATTATTATTCTTTTAATAAAAATGTCATGAAATGTGTTTTAAAACTAAAGGTAAAACTATTTATTAATAATCGGTACAAACATTCACATTTATTACAATTCACATTTTATCCGCCATTTTGCCACAGCTGACTTGCAACAATATAGGCACAGCTGACGAACCGCCATTTTGGCACAGCTGATATTCTGCATTTTGAAACAGCTGATACAAAATGGAGGATCTAGAGATTCGAGGCTAAATTTTCCACCGAGCAACTATTATTGTATATTTACATTGTAAATATTTGAGAATTTTAGAAGATTTGATTTGGTTGAATAAATTCAGATTTTTTTCTCCATCAACTAATTAAGAACATCTTTAGGATCGAAAGGTAAATCTTGTTTTCTATGAATAAATATAGATATATAGGCTACTACATTTAGACTTTACGGACAATTTTTTTAAAAATGAATGAGAATGATTTACGCTCATCTACTGACACCTTTTTCATTTTTCACAACCTGAAGCTTATGGCTGCTTAATTTAAGCATAAAACACAAGGTAAGCCATGTTTTTTCTTTAAAATAAGATTCAGGTTAGACAGTAGATTAGTTTCATAAGAGAGCTCAGATCTTGCTTTTAAATTCAACATCAACCAACTATAATTCCAAAATAGAGTTTGAAAGTTTTTAGAGAAATATAATATTTATATATTGCTTTCTTATTCTAAGGATAAGATACATTCCAAGATTTTTATGAATGCTTCAACAAGCGCAGTAATTCTGAGATAATAAATATGTCCGAGTTCTTGTAAATAATGATATTTCAACTTTAATTCTTCACATCTTTTGAACTTGACATTAAACAGTCTTTTTATTTGAACTATGAAGAGTATCTACTATAGTGTAGAATAGGCCTCAAGTTAACAGAAGCATTCTGAATGCTAATTTAAACACTGGGAATTCTCACTTTGTTCTTTTTTCATCCTTCACGTTATCACATGCAGTGCCATCTATGCACTGTTAACTGAACTAGTTTACCAGAAGAAAGCAGATAGGATTAACGTAAGCAATGACATCGCCGGAAGAATTGTTGAAGAGCCACTGAGAGGCCCAACTTTAGGTGGTGGTCTAGTTGGTGGGGGGTTGGGGTTAGTGTTGCAGCAAACAGAACTTGTAGTGTTGCTTCCTTTCACGGGACAACAGAAGTCTCCTTAAAAAAAAAAGAATAGTGAATTAATTTTTCTAAAAAATTAACTTTTATAAACTTTGTCCTTTCCAGTCCTCTGGGTTTTACAGGATGCATTTCCGAAATAAATGGTGTTGATGAGTCTGATCCTCAGAAACATCTTTGAGGGGCAAAAATTGAATTATGTTTCTCATTCCAAAAATTTGGGTTTTTGCTTACTTTCTAATACATGAAGAATCCCTTATTATCAATGCCCCCTATGTAAACAAATACCCGGAGAGGAGATTTCCAGGAATTAATGTCAATTTTAAAAGTATGGGTCATTAAATTCGTGTACAGGAAGAGCCATGGCTGGAATGTGAAAAAAGAAAAGCCCCCCCCCCTGGACACATTTATGCATACGCCCCTGTTTTGTGGAACCCCCTGCATCTTACCGTATCCTAGATCCTTGCACATATCATGGTTAACGCAGGGTAAACTCTTGAGATGGTTGAAGTACTTCTCCTCGCAGCAGAACTGCCCGTTGCAGCAACGATCCGGGCCTAGATACAGTCAATTTTATAACATCGTCAACAATCAACATAATATCTATCTATTTATCTAGCATCTACACATTACAAATTACAACACTCTACATAATGCACATACTTTTTGTAACTTAATAAACACGTCTAAATATCTATACATTTGTAATCGTAATTCTATGTTTAAAAACTATTTGCAAAGAAATACTTTGCAAAAAAAATTCGAGGGATAAAAAAGACGATCAAACATGTAGATAAGCTAAAGAAGTTTAAACATTTTTAACATAGGAGAAATTCAAAGATTGGTTTCCAGATTCCAGCCATTAAAATTAGGTTATTATATCTTAGAAAGTTACACAACCTAGAGTTCTGTGGACACTACGCAATCTATTTCAAAATGAAAAGTTGTTTAGCTGATAAAGCTAATTAAAATATATGAGAAAAAAATATGTAATTTTCACTCCTTGTCAATGTTTTTGCTCTATAAGTTTCCGCACTTTAGATGAGCTAAACCTCTATTACCCGGCCCCGTAGATACCTCTTAAGCTGTCTGCTGATATCTGTCTACACGAGAACCTTACATATACATAAAGAGGAGAGGAAAAAGGATAAGGAGAAGGAGGAGAAGAAAAAAGAAGGAGGAGAAGGAGGAGAAGGAGGAAGAGAAGAAGGAGTAGAAAAAGGATAAAAAGGAGGAGAAGATGGAGATGGAGAAGAAAAAGGATAAGGAGAAGAAGGAGAAGGAGGAGAAGAAAAAGGATAAGGAGAAGGAAGAGAAGAAAAAGGATAAGGAGAAAAAGGAGATGGAGGAGAAGGAGGAGAAGAAAAAGGATAAGGAGAAGGAGGAGAGGAAAAGGATAAGGATAAGGAGAAGGAGGAGAAGAAAAAAGAAATAGGAGAAGGAGGAGAAGAAAAAGGATCAGGAGAAGGAAGAGAAGAAAAAGGATAAGGAGAAGGAGTAGATGAAGGAGAAGGAGGAGAAGAAAAAGGATAAAGAGAAGGAGGAGAAGGAGGAGAAGAAAAAGGATAAGGAGAAGGAGGAGAGGAAAAGGATAAGGAGAAGGAGGAGAAGAAAAAAGAAATAGAAGAAGAAGGAGAAGGAGGAGAGGAAAATGCACACTGAGAAGATGGAGATTGAGGAGAAGGAGGAGGAGCAAAAAAGGACAAGAAGGACAAGGATGAAAAGAAAATTGCACAGAAGAAAGAGAAGAAGGAAGGATAAAATCCAAAGAAAGAGAAGATTTGTTAGTAAATACATTATTGTTAGAAAGTATAATATAAAGAAACATATAAAATTAGCTACCACAATAAGCGTACAAAAAAAAACATATAACTTCAACTACAGATAATCTCTCTACAAAGTAAACTATTTTCTACTAAAAATTTAAAGAAAAAAACTAAAAAAAGTAAAGGATCACAGTCATGCCGTATGCAAACATACACAAAAATAACATTTCAAAATGAGATTTTTTAAACAGAAATAATTTTTGGTTTAAAATAATCTCTTTTTTAAAATGCTGTTGTAATTGTGTAGATATGGGTTGAGCAAAACACTGGATTTGTTGTATAAATGTAAATAACCTTATGTTTCTTGGAATACAGGTTTAACCACAAAATATGAGACTTCAGATACACCTGTTCATGATTCATTATACATTTATGGGTCCCTAGCTGTCAAATGTCAAATTATTTTAAATGACAAGAACTACGAATTAAGGCAGAATTAGCCAGTTTTATACTTTATATTTTTATATTCTATTTTCATATCGTCTCGATCCTTAGTCTCAATCTTTGTGGATAACCCTGTATATAAGTTGTGCAATGTCCCCAGGTGTCAGTGTTCAAATGTTTCCAATTTATTGCAATTCATGATAATTTCTAAAGATTTGTTTGTGAGAAAATAAATTTTTTGTCAAATAAAATGTTTCAGAAAACATAATACAGAAGATAGAATTGTAAATATAGTGTTTTATTAATTTACCCGTTACGAGTAGGAAGGAGAAAATAATTAAGCACATTTTCAGGTAAAAAAGGTACTTTACGTTAACACTTATTTTTCTTCAATAGCAAATTTTGTATTTCAGTCAAGATTGAAAATATGAATCTGCTTTATTATAATGAACTTAGAATTTATATCAGAACCATGATATTTAGTTTTAAATGCGTTGTATAGTAAAATATAAAATTTAGTGGCTAAAACAAGTAAAGTATATATAAAGATAAAAAAGTAAAATTTGAAAGTTAAGTTTAAACTATTAAATATATATAATGCACATGGTACATCGTAACATCGCACCAATAACACAGAGTTTACAACATAAATTAACAAATCCATGTATCTTAGTCTTCCCTGTATGTACAAAAAAACGTACAAATTCAATCAGCTAATTTGTACCCAATAACCCTTAAATTTCTGCTAAATCATTGCGTACACTTCAGCTTATTGTTTTTGTACACTCTGTACACTGTACCAGGACAGTTGATCCCTTACCCTGACCCTTACAATCTCTGTCCCCGTTCTCTCTGCAGTCTCCTAGCTCCTCCATGCACAGGCCGACATTGATGTTTCTTCGATCATGATGCCTAAACAATTTTTATCAAATGTTTGTACAAAGATAACCATAAAACTATGGAATAGAATGACGAAATGAAAGCAATACTGAAGTGTAATTTATGTTGTTACAAAGCAAATAGATTTACTAGTAACTTATTAAATGGGCCAGCTTACACTGCACATCTTCAATAAAGAATAAAGTCATAACTTGAGTCTTAAAATCGTCTTACTATTCCAGAGTTTTCTGGTTTTCAATGTACATAGATGTACATGGATGCTTAAGAGTCGGCTTGGTACTGGAAATAAAGCAAAGTTTACAGTGGGTAGTACAATTTTAATCTTTTTGTGTAAGTTTTTTTTCTTCAATTTATTTTCAAGAAACAAAAATTTATTTAAAGTTGCCTTTTAAATCTTATTTTTATTGTTATCATGTCTAAAAAGTCTTATTTCTGTATTGTTATAATGTCTTTAATTATTATTATTGTATTGATATTATTCCAAACCATAGAAAACAATTTTACTTTAATATTTGGTATAAATGTATTGATTTGTGGCACAAACCTTACACGCTCAAAGTTAGAGTTATAAATAATTAATGTGAACAATAATACTTAAATTCAACATCATTTTGTGATTTATAGATAATCTTATCGATGGAAAGAGAAGGGTGAGGGGGGGCAGGACCTGTATGGGGAGATCCCTTTACACAAATCTATCCCTTAATAGTCCCTTTACACATATCTATCCCTTAATAGTCCCTTTACACATATCTATTCCTTAATAGTCCCTTTACACATATCTATTCCTTAATAGTCCCTTTACACAAATATATCCCATAATAGTCCCTTTACACATATCTATCCCTTAATACTCCCTTTACACATATCTATTCATTAATATTCCCTTTACACAAATATATCCCATAATAGTCCCTTTACACATATCTATCCCTTAATAGTCCCTTTACACATATCTATTCCTTTATAGTCCCTTTACATAGATATATCCTTTAATAGTCCCTTAAAATATGATTAATCCCTGAACAGTCCCTTCAAATAGATTTATCCCTGTATAATCTCTTTAAATTGATTTATCCCTGAACACTCTCTTTAAATATATTTATCCCTGAACACTCTCTTTAAATAGATTTATCTCTGAACACTCTCTTTAAATAGATTTATCCCTAAACACTCTCTTTAAATAGATTTATCCCTGAACACTCTCTTTAAATAGATTTATCCCTGAACACTCTCTTTAAATAGATTTATCCCTGAACACTCTCTTTAGATAGATTTATCCCTAAACACTCTCTTTAAATAGATTTATCCCTGAACACTCTCTTTAAATAGATTTATCCCTGTACAGTCCCTTTAAATAGATTTATCCCTGTACAGTCCCTTTAAATAGATTTATCCCTAAACACTCTCTTTAAATAGATTTATCTCTGAACACTCCTTTAAATATATTTATCCCTGTACAGTCCCTTCAAATTAAAACTAAAAGTAAAAGCTGTAAAGCATCATGCTGCTTGTATTCTGTATATATTTATTAATCAGGGATTCAGGGTTAATCGTCAAACATGAGGCACGATTACAATAAACTGCTATGAGTTTGGATTTAATGAATACAGCGAGAACTAGTTAAAATTGATTTAACTAGTTGAACTCCTGTGTACTTTTGGCTGTAGTTCAAGCATGTATACCTAGTTTGACTACTTCTAACTATATTTATTAAATTCCGTATCTGAAAAAAATATTTGTTAATTCATATCCCGTGTTCTCTTAATACCCGTAGATACTATTTGATAATTCATCAGTTCATGCCAACTCATCCAACTCATACTTGTAGTTAGTGATGATTAATAGTGTTGGTTGGTTAGATACTATGGTAGTTACAATAGATCAAATTTTATATTTTCTCATTATGATTCATAATAGAAAGGGAGTGACTTGGTACCCCCCACGGTAAACTAGAGGTCCTGGTTAAAAGTCCAGTGAGTCTTAACATTAGAACCCATTTAATGTTATAGATTTTTCGTATCTACTATTTAATACCTTTTTGTTCTGGTATTTATTATAAAAAAATGAAGTGTTTCGTATCCTACGCTATTTTCGACATATTTTGAAAGAGAGCTCAATATTTCGATACAAACAGGATGCACTGACATGTGTGTTAGTTTCACGTGCCAGTGTGACAGGAAAATAACCTTCCTCTGCTTGAATTTTTTGGGATCATTGAGGACCTGAACATGTGTTTACAAGGATACGGAAGGGAGTGGAATTTTATCTATAAGCTTTGGAATCATTTATGAGTCAGAAATATAGAACCATTCATGAGTCATAAATATGGAATCATTCATGTGTCAGAATTATGAATCATTCATGAGTCAGAAATATATAACCATTCATGAGTCATAAATATGGAATCATTCATAAGTCAGAATTATTTAATCATTTTTTTAGTCAGAATTATGAAATCATTCTTTAGTCAGAAATATGGAATCAGTCATGAGTCAGAATTATGGAATCTTTCATGAGTCAGAATGATGGAATCATTCATGAGTTAGAATTATGGAATCATTCATGAGTCAGAATTTTATGGAATCATTCATGAGTCAGAATTATGGAATCATTCATGAGTCAAAACTATGGAATCATTCATACCTGAAAAATTTTCTAACGAGGAAAGTGAGTAAAACGTTATCAAGTTTCACCAGGTTACAGATTAGAGGGAATTATGAGAGTAAAATTCAAGTTTATAGATTTTACGCGGCAGGTGCCTCAACTCAGACATTTTACATTTTAATTCCATATTTGGTTTAAAAATAAGTTCTTGTGCTGACAGGAGACAGCCAAATCATAAATAGTCCCAGCTATTGTTTGCAATAATCAGTTAATGTACAAGAAATATTTATGAATTCTGATTAATTCTGAAAATTAACTAAACAAAAAACTAAAGATGCCAAACTAATCAGATTAGAATAATAAAGAAAGACAAGAAAGACAAACACTAAAAAGGAAACTTTGAAACTTTTAAGCAATTGTTGAGCTTAACTTTTAAAAGATTTATTTTGGCGTTATTCAAAATGACCCATTATTTAGAGTAGGTCATGTCCGATACACAGTGCTCTTTTAACCAATGCGTCTGAGCAAATATGATGTTGATATTCCTTTTTTTCTTTCTAAAAATTGATGATTTTCAATTCTTTAAAAAAGTGACTTGCGGGTTAATACTTTAGAGTCAAAGAGAGAAATTGTCCAAATTTAAGACATGGTTTAAACTATAGAGCGAATCGGGTATATCACAGTCCTTCCTTGAAGAAGAGTATCCAGGTATCCTGTCTAGTCCTGTCCTTGAAGAAGAATACCCAGGTATCCTGTCTAATCTTGTCCTTGAAGAAGAGTACCCAGGTATCCTGTCTAGTCCTGTCCTTGAAGAAGAGTACACAGGTATCCTGACTTGTCCTGTCCTTGAAAAAGAGTACCCAGGTATCCTGACTAGTCCTGTCCTTGAAGAAGAGTATCCAGGTATCCTGACTAGTCCTGTCCTTGAAGAAGAGTACCCAGGTATCCTGACTAGTCCTGTCCTTGAAGAAGAGTATCTAGGTATCCTGACTAGTCCCGTCCTTGAAGAAGAGTACCCAGGTATCCTGTCTAGTCCTGTCCTTGAAGAAGAGTACCCAGGTATCCTGTCTAGTCCTGTCCTTGAAGAAGAGTATCCAGGTATCCTGTCTAGTCCTGTCTTTGAAGAAGAGTACCCAGGTATCCTGTCTAGTCCTGTCCTTGAAGAAGAGTACCTAGGTATCCTGTCTAGTCCTGTCTTTGAAGAAGAGTACCCAGGTATCCTGTCTAGTCCTGTCCTTGAAGAAGAGTACCCAGGTATCCTGACTAGGCCTGTCCTTGAAGAAGAGTATCCAGGTAACCTGACTAGTCCTGTCCTTGAAGAAGAGTACCCAGGTATCCTGACTAGTCCTGTCCTTGAAGTAGAGTACCCAGGTATCCTGTCTAGTCCTGTCCTTGAAGTAGAGTACACAGGTATCCTGACTAGTCCTGTCCTTGAAGAAGAGTACCCAGATATCCTGACTAGCCCGAGTAGTGAATGCTCATTAACCGAAGCGCATGTTTCAAAAAAGTTGTAAATATATTTCAAGATTAATTATCCTTCAACAAGAAACTGGTTTTCTAAACTATTATTGTTTACAGTCAGCCTTTTGTTTTTACAAATTTAGAAAAAACAATAAATACTCAAAATTATGTTTTCTAAGTTTTAATTTCCCAGGGCGTAGGTGTTTAGATTTTCACGGGCAGGAATATGATTGATGGATGGAAAGCCGTGAAAAATTGCTGAAAAGTTAAAGAAGAGCCAAGAAAATGAACATCAGGAATCTACATTAAGAAACTGATTCCCTGATTCCCAACAGTAACCTAGAACCTTAGTCTAATAAATATTTAAAAGATGACGTCATTTCCTGGCTTGAAAAGTGTTTAATTGTGATCATACAAATAAAAAAAGAGTTTTCAAAAATAAAAACATATAACTATCTACTTATACTTGATCAGGCGAAGTTTTAAGGGTACCGTTGAGAATTGGACATGACACTCTATCAATGGAGGATGAATTGAAATTACTTTTACAGTTTCAAATCTTGATATCGTTGATTATCTGATAAACATGTTGTAACCTTTCATATTTCAAACTTTGCCTATTTAATTTTGGTTTGAAATATCAAAGTCTACCTGGGATCAGGTTTCAAAGAAATCGAATATTGAAATCTAGTTCCAATGTGAGAATAAAAGGAGTATGCATAGTCTATTTATACTTCTTTATATTGGATTTAATTTGATACATCTTTATAGTGGATTTATTTTGATATATCTTTATAGTGGATTTATTTTGATATATCTTTATATTGGATTTAATGTGATATATCTTTATAGTGGATTTAATTTGATATATCTTCATCGTGGATTTATTTTGATATATCTTTATAGTGGATTTAATTTGACATATCTTCATAGTGGATTTATTTTGATATACCTTTANTAACAAGGCTTTTATCTGTGACCATCTATTCTGCTTACAGAATAAAAGAAAAAGTTTGCGGATTTCATAATATTTTTTTCGCGCATTTTCTAAATTTAAAAAAATAAAAAACTTTTAAACAATAATTTTTTTAATTTTTAATCATTCATAAACTTTCCCTGTGGTCACGTAAGGTCCAACATAAAATTTGGGGCCGATCGGTTCAGCCGTTTTGACGTTTATTGGATACAAACAAACAAACAGACACCCAGACAAGCTAAATTTATAAATAGAAGACTAAAACTAGAAATTTTTCCATATTCAACCTATTTGTTTCTTATTTTTCTTACTTTTTACTCAACCTAAACTTACCACATCAAAATGGTGTTTGCCTTCCTTGTGCACTTTCAAAATTACCGGAACTAAAAAGATTTAAATTCATAAAATAAAATATAAAATTAAAAGAAGTATCTAAATCATAATGATATCTTTATATCTCCAGTAATTTTGAAAACACAAAAAAGGTTGACCAGGTTGAAATTAGGTCGATGAAGGAATGCCGCAATAACAATCTGCAATTCATCTCTCAACTGTCATGTTTCTTGGAAAACTAAATAAATAAATCACCATTAAAATATGAAGGATGTTATAGCTGGCGGCTCCCGCACAACAAGGAGCATCTAAATAAAAAGAGTATCATATTATGAAAATAAGTAGAAAAAGAAAAATGATCTATTTTAAAAGAAAAAGTGTTTGCTTTAATTTACTAGTGGGTGAGGAACCCGCAACGCTCTGGCATAGATCACTGGTTTAAAAAAGAAATCAAAGAGTTCAGTCTGTACCAAAGAGCGAGTGCCGGCGAGCAATCCTGAATTTTAACGTGGCGTTCTGATAAATCTAAGAAAAAAAAATCAAGTTAGTTTTTTACAATAGGCATATTCGACATTGGATTGTAAGTAAGATGGTTGCCTGAGCTAAAAAGTTAAAATATGTTAATAATATTGAATAAATAGAGAAAAAGGAATTTAAAGCAAATACATAGTAGAGTAAATTAAGACATATTCATAAGAGAGCTGAGATGAAAATTAGGTAATAAATATAATCAAAATTAGGATTAATCTCATGGTTTTTGTATATTCTTGAGTATAGAAGGCACGTACTTTAAGGGTATGATTGCTCTCTGTAGACCAGGAAATCAGCCAATGGTATCAGTGTAAAGCTTCTTATCGGGGTCGTCTTTCAAAGAGAACTTGATTTTCCCATTCTGTGTGAAGCATCTCTCAACTTTATCAACCTTGGACAGCTCCATCAGACGGTTGTAGTTCAACTTGGTGAGATCTTCAGTCATGAATATCCTGTTGGGTTGAGAACGGTTAATACCTTCCAGTATCTGTCGTTTGTTCTTAAGAACAAGAAGACGACATGTTCTTGAGAAGAACCTGAGGATAATTGGAGAGTGAGAGTTTGGAGGGGCGTTCTTGGAAGGTTTCAGAGGGTGTCCGTACTCAATTAGTTCTGAGGGTGCGGGGATTGAGTTAATTTCCTTGTTGTTAACACAGACCTGTAGAATAGGTTTGAGAACTTTGTTGTAGACATGTTGGATCAGATGTATTACATAAATATTACGGACAGATAGAGGACTACAGAGACTACCCGGGACTTTTATTTATTACATAATCATTACAGACAGATGGAGGACTACAGCAACTACCCGGAACTATTATGTATAACATAATCATAACTGTACCGGGCTCTCGCTTCATCCTTTTTAAAATCTAAGCCAATATTCCCTATAACGGGCCCTTGCTACATTCTTTTTTATAACCTAAGCATATATCCCCTGTACCAAGCCCTCGCTTCATCATTTTTTATAACCTAAGCATTTATCCCCTGAACCGGGCCCTCGCTACATCCTTTATTATAATTTTAAGCATGTATACCCTGAACCGGACATTCGCTACATCCTTGATTATAATCTAA